AATTTCGATTAACTGACCCAGACAGATTGATTAATTAGTTAGAAAATGTATATAAGAGATGACAAAAGAAAGAACACAAAAAATTGTAATAAATAAAATTTTTGTTTCTTTTTGAAAGATTTTGAAATTTTATTTTAGATATTAGATATAACCTTTATCAGGATAGATATTTACTTAATTTAGGAGTGGGGGACATCAGGACACAGCGCGTAGATACTGTATATAGTCCTTCGCTAACGCTCTGGACTAATAACTGTGATTGGTTATATAATATTTCACGTGAATAATTTATCAATTCGAAATATAACTGCCATTTTTTACAATTTATAATATAAAGGCTGGCCATTTTCTTACTTCTTTACCTTAATTAATCTCATATCTCATAATCGTCAACAATATTGACTGCATCATAGACATTTTCATTTGACATAAATATATATAGATAAGAGGTAGAGGAAAAGAACCTTTTACCTTACGAATTAAGGTCATTTAAATATATTTTTTTAAAATAATTGATATTTAAAAATAAAAAAAAATCCATGAGAAAATTTTTTGTTGAAATTCTCAAAAAAATATTTGGAGAAAATATTTCTTAAATTAAATAATAAATTTGGTTGTTTTTTAATTAGTAAAAAAAGAAAATATTCAATTTTTATTTCCATGAAAAAAAAATTTTCTAAATTTCAATATTTGATTCTTTATTCACATGAAAAAAAAATTCCTACTAGAAAAATAAAAAATTTAAAATGAATACCTTTTCTTTTATCATATCTTTTTCATGAATAAAAAAAAATAAAGAAACTAAAATTTTTTATTAAAAAAACTAATAAAAAAATATCTTGTAACCTATCTCAACATAATTTGTTATATAGATCAACATAGTGAAATAGCTGAGAAATCAAAATTTATAGCTAATACTGTAGAAATAATTAGTTCTTGAGACCAAAATATCAACATCTTTATCCATATTACTGCTTTTTATTTAAAAGGTATAATCAAAGATAGTAATTTAAAAAGATTTAAGAAAGGAGATATTATTTAAGTTCAAGATAGATTTTCAGTAACTGAAACAGATGTTTATAATAATAAAATTAAACTCATCAAGATAAAAAAAAATAAAAAAATTGATACATATTAATTAAGCTTAATAATAAATTATCTTAAAAAAATAGGTCATAACATCCAATATATGCATGCTCAATCCTAATGAAAAAGATCTTCTAAAATGCTTATTATCTATTATACTAACCAGTATAGTATCAAATAATCCAGAAATTGATGAAGATAAGGTTACCCTGAGCATCACTGTCAAAAAATATCTCAATGATCAGATTAATAACTTTTTTTTATTTAATTTATATCACTTTTCAGAAGAGAATCATTTACTCTCAATCTCTACAAAAGCTTCACATGGTTTTTCATTATATATTACTGGTTATTTATCATTCATTGAAGACTTCTCTTATTTGTCAAACTTACACAAATAAATTTTGTAGAATCATCTTCCTCATTATCATATAAATCTTCCAATTACACTTGGGAAAAAAAACAGATAGATGAATAATCCTCATTGTCAGTTGTCAATATAGCTAAATCTATTCTATTTAATATAATAAAATCTAAACAAAAGGGAAAACATAAAGCATCAACCTAACAGGAATTCGTAAAATTCCAAAATTCATTTTTTTATCTCTAACTTCTCAACCAATTTCATTTAAAAAAAAAAATGAATAATTTTTTTATTTTTTCTTTTGATAACATTCAAACAAAATTTATCATTTTTTATTTTATATATTACTTATTTTTTAAATTTGTAATTCAATTTTATTTTTTTTTATTAAAAAAAAATATCCATTTAATTTTACTTTATCATTTTTTCTTATCTTTTAAAAATAAAAAAAAAATTGGAGTTAAAATCTGATTACTGAAATTTGACACAAATCTATATATTTTGTCTTTTTTAGTTTGATTTATTTTTATTAATTAAAAAAATAAAAATAAATGAATAATTTTAAATTTTTTTTCAATAAATAAAGCTTATTTTTTTTTATAATTATTATCAATCAAAAAAAAAATTTTCAAATGATTCTAAAATTTTAATAAATAAAATCCATTTTTTTTTAATATCATCTCACATATTCCAAATTCTAGAAATAGAACAATTACAAGAAAATGAAATTATTATTAATATATTGTCTGATAATATCAAAAATCAATCTAATAACTCATATTTACAAATAACCTAATTATCTCATATATTTTCTTCTTAGATCCTATCCAAAAAAATTTAAATTATTAAAAGATAAATTTGAATTTTACATTCACAATCAATATTCATGCTTGTCATGCTTATATTGCGAATGGATGATATATCTGAAAAAATCAAAATGTATTAATAAAAATAATAATTTTATTTATTTGCTAACTATAGCTTACTTGAACTTACCCTTTACCTTCAACTTAAATTCTTCTAAAAATAGGATACTAGTTTACAATACTTATCATAAAAATCCATCCAGAAACTATCCATCTTACCTACATCCTATACCACCAGAAATTGAATGTGTGACTCTATAGAAAAGAAAATATCTTTCTCTTATATTCCTATACTTATCACTAGAAAGAATATTCTATATAAATAATTTCACAATATACCGATCTTTTGTTAGTACTATAGAACACTCCAAAAATTACAGATCATTAGTATTATATTTTGGAATACTAGGTACTTTCCTAGAGGATTATAGATCAAATCCTAATGATCAAAACTAGGGTTCTGCAATTCGATTTGATATTTGAATATTTGATTTGATTCGATCAAATTCAAATCAAAGAATGATTTATTTGATTCGATTTGATCAAATTCAAATCAAGTATTCAAATATTTAATTCGATTTAATCAAATTCAAATCAAGTATTCAAATATTTAATTTGATTTGAATCAATAGTAAAGCTATTTCCAAAGCTTTAGGAGTGGTTCTTACTAAGAAAACCATAGTAAAAAGTGCTTCTGCAGCTTTAGAAATGCCTTTTTTACTAAGAAAACTATAGCAAAAAGCGTCTCCGCAGCTTTAGAAATGCCTTTTTTACTAAGAAAACCATAGTAAAAAGTGCCTTCGTAGCTTCAAAAATGCCTTTTTTTACTAAAAAACCCATAGTAAAAAACGCCTTCATGGCTTTGGAGACATTATTTTACTAAGAAAACATAGTTAAAAACGCCTCCGTAGCTTCAGAGACATTATTTTACTAAGAAAACATAGTAAAAACGCCTTTGTAGTTTCGGAGATGCTATTTTACTAAGAAAACATAGTAAAAAACACCTTCATGACTTTGGAGACATTTTTTACTAAGAAACCTAGTAAAAAATGCATCCGCAGCTTCGGAAACGTTTTTTTACTAATAAAATTGTTACGAAGCCAAGATGGTGGTTATTACTAAGTTTTCTTAGTAAAACTGAAGCTGCGATGGTGGTTATTACTAAGTTTTTTTAGTAAAACTGAAGCCATAATGGCGTTATTACTAAGTTTTCTTAGTAAACCGAAGCCACGATGGTGGTTATTACTAAGTTTTCTTAGTAAACTGAAGCTGCAATAGCGGTTATTACTAAGTTTTCTTAGTAAAACCAAAACTGCGGAGTTATTTACTAAGTTTAATAGTAAAAATTCACCTGTTATTAAACTTACTTTGTAAAAGCTATCTTTGAAATTTTTTAGTGCAATTA